GTTGCTGCACATTGAACTTGCTTTCTCTTTCAAGTTGACCTCTCTCAAACCAAATCCACCAAAATAAGAGAGTGCTTACCTACGAAGAAAACCAGTAAGAGAGTGGCTCTTTACCGTCAAGGAGTCATTTACCTCCACTTTTCTCTAGATCTTTAGTTTGGCCCAATTCAAGGGAGTTGTGGGAGTGATTTCCTTTGTGCTTCTAATTTTGGAAACTTGTATCTTAAGAAATAATTCAACTCTATCAAATTTATGGTAGGTTGAATTTTATGGACAAAATCAATATAAAAAGAAAGATATTGGGAATTGAGGCATTTTCTTAGCGATGTGAGACATAAGGTTCAAGGTTGATTGGGGTATAAAACTCGAATAAAAAATATAAAAACCATAACATTAAAATTACTCGTAAATATGACCTTAATCATTAACTTTTTTATTTAGTTCATCAAACTAAAAAGATAATTATAATCATAATTCTTAAATGCTAATATAAAATGAAAGTACAAAGTGAGATTTATGATAAGCATTTACTTAAAATTTAAACCCACAACGAGTCATAATGGCCTCTTGCTTTTATTACTTTCAAAAGAGACATCATATGTGATAATTCTATGCTATTGGAAGTTGAACAAGTAAGAGAGAGTAAATCCACTGTAAGTTCAGGCACATTATCTTGTAATTGTGTTTATCAATGTTTTAAAGGAGAACAAAAAGAAAATTATCAATTTATATTGAAATAAAAAAGCTTAAACATTTTTAAATATAAATTAATAAGTCAATGCAAATTTACTCGGAGTTGTATTTTATAGCGTAATTGCGTGTTCTAAATCTAAACTTTCAATGGTAACATCTTTATTCATGTGAACGTTTTTGTTATATTGTAATTGATGGTTTAAAAATATGCAGTAGCATGCAAATATTTATGTAGCTAGTTCTAAATCCAAACTTTCATTCTTGAAATAAAAATTTTCAAGTTTTAGTAGTTTTAAAATAATCAACCTCAAGGATATCTTCATTCATGCATACATTTCAATAGTAATGTCTTTATTCATATGAAAGCTTTTGTTATATTGTAAGTGATGGTTTAAAAATCTGCAGTAGCATGCAAATATTGATATAGCTTATCATACGATTTTTCATCTATAATTCTCATATTTCTTTAATAGCACCTTCTTGACCTTTTAAATCTCTTTTAATTTGTTTGTTTGCCTTGATCATAGCTTCGTCAATGATTCCCATTGCTGGAGTTCATCAACAATTCTTAATGACTTTATGAAAGGTTTCATAATCTTCAGAGCATAATTAACTCCGTGATAGAAAAAAATCATATTTTATTAACCTATTGTTTATTCATTCCTTAAAAAATTTATGCCTTAAATCCATATTTTAGTAACTCCTTAAATCCCTATAAGCTCGGATAAGTTGGGGGAAAACTTATAATTGTTAACTGAATAAATTATTTATTTATAAATACTTTGTAAAATCAAATAAGCTCTTTAGGTTTTAATATCTTTAAAAGCAATTTTAGGTCAAGTTGAAAAAAATAGTTAAAGGAAACACATATAAGAGGACATGCCCTGAAACAGCGATGCAGAAAGAGATTGTTGAGCTTTTCATGTCCTCTGAATGAAAGAGTAGTATGAGTTAAGACACAGATACTCAAGTTTTCTACGAAGAGATTGTTGGGTCTTTTGTGTCTTCTGAATGAAAGAGTAGTATTATGAGGTCAGACATAGGATTACTCAAGTTTTCTGGAGTAATTTGTGCTATGTAATTTATCTTATATTTAAGAGAAAATAAAGAGAAAAAATCAACTAAATTTGAAGAAAACCATGTACAGACCATGGTATCTTATATTAAGTAGTATAGAATTACTCAAGTTTTCTAAAAGTAATTTGTGCTATGTAATTTATCTTATATTTAAGAGAAAATAAAGAGAAATAATCAACTAAATTTGAAGAAAACCAATTACAAACCGTGGTATCTTATATTAAGTAGTTTGATGATAAATTTCATAAAAGAAAAACTATTTGGCCAACAATTATAAGAATAAGTTTGTCCATGTTATGTTTAATAAAAACCTGAATGACTCCTCAAGCTATAGAGACAAATAAATGGTGATAATGAAATGGATTTTTAGGTTGTTGATAATATACTATTTGATGTTGAATGAATTAATGCTAAAAAATAATGAAAGATTTGAAGTTGAAAATGAAGGAATGACCTTTAATAATAACATGCCATCTGATTATGAAAGGACGACTGAATTCAGAGTAGCTTGTTTTTCAAAATATTTTAAAAGAAAAAATATATATATAAAGTGAAGCTAGAAGCCAAGATTTTTATTTCAATGAATTATTCAAATGTGTTATTAATTTTTATAATTTTAAATTATATTGAATTCATTGTTGATTCATATGAATAAGCAGAAAAATATAATGATTGGAAAAGATTTTTAAGATGTCAATAATACAAAATCAAAAGATAATAGAAGCATTGTATATGATGACTCCTTTGAAGTTGATGAAAGTGAGTATGAAGGTGTTTAAACTTTCATCTTGTATTAACACTTAAAATTCATATTTGTGTTTTATATCTTTATTATGATGACCTCAGTAAAGATGTCATGATTTGTTATGTTTATGTATTATTTTTAATCTTATTGATGTTATTTTTCGTTATTTGTGGCTTTACATCTCATGGCTTTATTTAGTTACTTCGGAATTTGATCATAATTATACTATTTCAATAACAACAAAGTAGTTACCATATGGATTATCTTATTTTTTATATTCCTAAAATTACTCCTGATATAGTTGATATTTTGTATAAATGCATTTTCAGATTTTGCATTTACTTTTGCTAAAACTATTATTGGCTTACATAGAAGTGTAAACAAATAAATAATAAATCGAATAAAGTTATATTAAGTGTATTGAATTTGTGAATGTAAAATTATCCATAAAAGAGTGCAAAGAGGGTGATTATATACTATTTCTTATCATATCTAAAAGAAATACTTTTTAGCTCAAGATATTATATATAAGGGCTGTTGGTCCGTTTAAAATTCCAAAGAGATGTTTTATAGGATTTTTGAGACTAACTATTTTGCTGATGAATAAAGCAACCAAATGCTAGTGGATATTTAGCAAAACATTCTAGACATTGAGTATATACTTATAGATGAAGCACCAGCTAATAATATTGGAGAACTCAGATTCCTGGTGAGTTGGAAGGATAAGCCCCTCAGTGAGCACACATGGATTAGAAGGGAAGATTTAGAGAAAATAGCACATGTTCTTGTGGAAGAGTATCTAGACTTTAGTATTTTAGAGAAGAATTGTATTATGGGAATTGGACAAACTCTAAGAAGTCAAAACAAAATAAATAAATAAATAATTTGTTGCAAGGAACATAATGAAGATTTTAATTTAAGAATATTTTCTTTGGAAATAAATTTTACATGCTATATAATTATTCTGTAAAATTATATGTATGTGAAACTTTGAAAATTTAAATTTCAAAAGTTTAATCAATTGAAATTTTTAAGTTCAGATTTTCAAATATGATGGTTTTTATGAAATTTTTTTTAGAATATTTACTTGCTTAAAAATAAATAAATAAATTGTTTTTCTATATTTATGTAGCTGAAATATGCTTTGGAAGGAGTAGTTATACCTTCCTCAAATTCGGGGGCTTCCCTCTCTTCCCATTCCCTCCTTTAGTGTTCTTGCGAATCATTCATTGTAAACACTTGTAAAATCTTGCAGTAAAGAGTGAAGGAGAACTGATATTGCTTGTTTAAAAATTATTCCAAGGAGAGTAAAGGCTTGATGGCCAACACTTGAGGAGTTTCGGCGATCTCCTTCAACCAATCTACTTTGTGAGGGAAAGGATTTCATCTTTTGTATGACCTTATTATGTTTTGTTTTGTAGAGCCTTGGTGTTAATATCTCTCTAGGCCTCTACCATATGATTTTCTTACCGATTCTCCCAAAAAATGGAGGGAAAACCAACATTAGGGCAGCCGGACATGGCTTTAGGAAAAAAAGGCCTAGTCTTGTTCATTTGACCAATTAGACACTAATATCCTTGAAAATTTGTTCAGAGCTCGAAAATTATTTTAGGGACAGTTTTATATCATCTACAAGTGATCCCAAAATTTTTTGCATTACCTAAAACCGTTCCCATCCATTAAAACTGAATGCCCAATCTAGGATTGTCAACCTAGGGGGGTTGATTTTTATATGACACTCTCGTTCCAACCTCTAATAAAAATACTTAAAAACCCTAGAAAATTACAAATACTCCAGAACATATATGGACACATTATTCTAATTATTTCTTGTGCTTCGTAGTCCCAGGGAGCTCTACATCGGTCACGCTGAAACTATAATTACAAATGCTCTCAGGTTTGGACCTAGGCTGATCCCAACCTTTTAATCGCTTTTATTTTTCCACTATCACTAGAGCCCGAGTCCTCTTTCTAACCTATTGGGAAGATCCTCAAACAAAATTCAGTTATAAGACAAGGTCAAAGCATCATATGTCAAGAACACTTTATCCGACCATTGTTCCCACCAAGATCATCATATTCAATATTACAGTGCATGAGGATGAATCCATGCACTTTTGAATATTTCAAGGACTCCAATCCCTATTTTGTTGACGAGAGATTGTTTTTATTTGGTTTTCCATCACTAATTTATGAAGAGTGATTGTTTTTATGACTTGAATCTAAGTGCTTCAACTCCAGAATATACCTTGAGACGGTGAACAACTGCTCTAGCCTTCCATCCTTTATAACAATGCATACAGCTGATACGTTTATATAAAATTTCTATTTGACCTGCGAGGTAATGGTTTGTTTCAGTGGTTATATGTATGATTTCACCGTATATGAATTCATATAATTTTTCCATGCCATTTGTTAATTTGACTTATTATATATTTTCTTTGTGGCCATTGCAGTTTTCATTAATTGTTTACGTACCTTTCAGATATGGGATTTCAATCTAGGACGGTCTAGGGAGCACAATGTGTCTTCTCCACTTGATGATGGCCATGCTGGAAACAATTCGGGTTTTATGATTAAGAGTTATAGTGAGCTTCTTAAAGAGAGAACTTTTACAAATACGGAAATTCTAGAAGGCTTCTATGAGAAAAACTGCCCTTCGTCAAATGAGGATGTTTCTTCTACTAATAACATTCATCACATGCCATGTCAAAAAGTAAGTTGTTAAGAATAGTGTACCCATTTAACATTTGTTTTTACGGAGCGGCCCTGCTCATCACATGATCTGGTTTACATTTATACAGTTCGTTTTAGGCAAAATTTACATACATAGCACACAACTCTTTCGTATTTATATATTTCACACCTACATAGCACTTTGGTACTTTAAACTTATGCATTAAATTGTGTATTTCTCTTTTAAAAAATGATAATTGTGCTATTTTTTATGTGATGTTAAAGATTTGAGTGCCATATGTGTAAATATGAAAGTTTAGATTTGAGATATGCAAATACATAAGAAATGTGTGCTATGTAAATGACCCTTATTTTTGTTATCTTGTAGATTTTCCTTAATTATGGCCCTTATTTTTGTTATCTTGTAGATTTTCCTTAATTAGTAGTTTTATATATGAAGCATAGGAAAGTTTTATATTCATGGTGCTATTTGGTGCTATTTCCTTCTTATCTTTTGTTTGATTAGTTCAATGCCGAAAATTGTGCATTGTTTTAGTACCAAACCAAGGACTTGTCGCTTCAGTACTTTAACCGAAAAGAAGTTTCTCTTTTTCTTTATTAATTCGATTGCATTTCAGCCATTGGTATCTTGATTGATGATCATGTTCAATTTATAGATATATGTAAAATTTTCGAAGTAGACCATTTATCTTACAAATTTGAAGGTTAATTTCTTGTTGAACTGTCAATACTACTGCTTTTTAGCGTTGTAGTGAGAAAAGCAGCAATTATCTGCATATTTTGGGATGTCCATGGGAAAAAGTGAACATAGAAAATTTCCTGCTACTGCAGTGGTTGTATTGGGTGAATCAAATGTGGTGTGGTATTTACGTAAGAATACTAGAAGTTAGATGAAACCATAACTAATGATCAGTATGGAAGATTTTATGAAAAATGATAATTTATATTTGATACTTAATCTGAATGGATTGATGCAAGTCGCGTGAATATCCCATAACGCTCCAAATATGAATAACATAAACAGCCTACCAGACAATATAAACTATATAAAAGCAGCCTACCAGACATTCTTATGTAGGGATGTAAACCAGTCTGAGTGAAGCTCAAGCTACCCTTGACTTAAGCTTGTTTAATTAATTGAGTTCAAGATCAAGTTCAAGTTTAAATGCTCACGAGCCTGTCGGCTTATTCTTATTCTCAAAAAGATAAAATAATGTTAATTTAAGTTAGTGTTTCAATAAAATGAAAAATAGAATGAACAATTAAGAAATAAATAACAAGAAATTACTTGATATAAAATAAATATATTAATTTTTTTAATATTTTTAATAATATAAAGATAAAGTCTTGATCTTTTTTATATATCGAGTATATTTAATGTTTTTACTTTTTAAATGAGTCTGCCCACGAGCTAACAAGTCAAGTCGGGGTTGGCTTGAGCTTAGCTTGTTAGCCCACCGAACTCAGTTCTTGAGCCACTTATCGAGCCGAGCCTGAGCCACCTCATGAATCGGCTTGGCCTAGTTACATCTCTATTCTTAACCAGTAGTTCTAATGCGTTTGTTTCTATCTCCAGCTCGGGGCAGCAGCTAGCATGCTAGGCAAGTGGAAAGGCAAAAAAGGCAACTCAATACTTAATGGACCATCCTCTAGCAATAATTTACCCACCATATCTTGTCCTGCAGTTTCTTCTTCGCTCAATCCAGGACGTGGTTCCATTAGCAAGGAGATTTCCTTTGGTGAACAGCCCCTCGTTAGAACTGAGCTTGTGAATTCATTCAAGAAGGTTGACACCCAACTCCTGGCTGAGAAAAGGGGAACCGCCATGCAGCGTTACAAAGAGAAAAAGAAAACACGAAGGCATTGATCCATTCCCTTGAACCTGTAACTTTTATTTTTCCCTTCATACTGAGTAGTTTCTTATTTCTTCTGTTCTTTCTCCAATTTCATGTAGGTATGATAAGCGCATAAGGTACGAGTCCAGGAAGGCGAGAGCGGACATCAGAAGGAGAGTTAAAGGTCGATTTGTCAAGTCTTCTGAGAATGTGGATGATGAGAATCATGGCTAGAGACAAAGATTGATCAAACTATGTATGTATATATTTGTGATTGTTTTTTTGTCTTTTTTATTGCTGTTCATGATTGGTGCTATAAAAATGCCTTTGAAATTCGAGAGAGTCGAGAGCTTTTGCTGTTGTTTTATATACCATTTGTTAAATGATGTATTCCATGAATTAAATGATTGGTGCTAAAAAAGATCACTCGTGTGTCTCTCTCTCTCTCTCTCTCTCTCTCTCTA